GTCCTAAACTGTGAGACTGATAGCAGTTTGCTGTGATGCTGAAAACTGTGCCAACTGTTTGCCAAATGCCAAAGAGGTCCCCCATAGTAGACAAGTTGTAGAGGAACTCTTGGACTGAGACAATTAAAGGAGGACTGGCAACCCATTTCTGAAATAACAGGCCTCTCAAAACCCTTTAAACAACAGAGGTACTAATGTAGTGTTTTAAAAAAAACAACAAAGCAGTGTCAAGTGGTATGTCCAAAAGCAGGAGATACCAGTACTTTATAACCCAGCAAAACCAAACCCACCACCATCAAATTGAGTTCAATCCATAGTAATCATCCTTTGCCTTTTACAGCCTATATATTTTGATGAGAGTAGCCTGATCGTCTTTTTTCCACTGAACAGCTGGTGGATTCAAATTGCTGACATTTACATTAGATGCCTAACACAGTACCAGAACTTCCTGTATTTGATAAAGAATCTTTTTTTCAGGAGTCAACTATTAACAGTGATTAGCAACATCTGCCTTTGCTTATCCTAAAACAAAGTTTATAAACAATGGTGGCAAGGGGAATGACAAGTAGAGGAAAGAAGGACATGAAATGGGGCAAAAGAAAGAAAAAATTAAAAAAAATAAATTAAATAAAGAGAAAATACTTTTGTTGCACATAGTTGAGAATCTGCAGGGGCTTCTAAAACTACCTAACGCTAGTTACTCACTCACCCACTACCGTTGTCATCACAGCAAACCTTTCATTGGGTTTTGAAGGCTGCAAACTGCTCTGGAAGAAACTGCCCATCCTTCTCCCGAGAAACCACTGGTGGATTTGAACTGCCAGAGGCTTAGCTTTTGGGTTAGCAAAACAACTCCCTATGAGCTACACCATCAGAGCTCCCTCTAAAGATGACAGAAATCAAGTATATGAGGTTATATTCACATTTTCTTAACACTTGATAGAAAATTAGGTAAGTCACATTTGAAAAAGGATGTAAGGAAAGTACAATGAAAGCAATCAACAAGTGTAGATTTCTGGAGCCAGAAAACTACATTTCAAATTCTGGCTCTACCACTGTAATTCTGAGCATCTTACTTTATATACTTCAAGGTTGACCACTTAAATAGTTCATTCCTTCATCTATAAAACTGGAGTATTTTGCCACTTAAGGTTGTGAAGATTAACTGAGATAGTCATGTAAGCACTTAGCATATAGTTCAGCAAGTGATAAGCAAATGAATGTTTATTGCCCTTCTGGTGTTACATATAATCTAGGGTTTGACTTTATTACCTGACCTGAGAAAGAGAATAGTTTGGTATAATCTATTTTTTATAAAGTAATATCAGTTGCTTCCCAAGTAAGGATATTGAGGAGAGGGGGAATGACTTTTATTTTTGTGGACAGAGAAACTAGTTAATCTAACATAGACAATGATGGGATTTGTAGGTTTGCTCAACTTACAACCTTCTATGAAACAAGAATCAAACATTTAGAATTTCAGATTCTCAATCAACAAACACTTCAAAAACAAATCAGCAAATTCAAATATGCATTCAAAACTTTTAATTTGTAAGAATAATAAACGATTTGGATGAGAAAAACCACTTATTAAAATGCATTATATCAAAATGAAAGGAAAGTGGATGTCAAAATAAGAGGTAGCATGCTGGCTTAGGGGCCACACAACTGAAACACCCAGCAAAGGTGGGCGCTGGGGAGAAGAAAGATAAGCAATCCCCTTCCAGGTGATTCACAACCTCTGACAACTCACTGGAGCATCAGCTATGAGTCAGTTCTGGCAATGTGAGCAGGAGGAGCAAAGCTGATGCCGAAGGTGTACACATTAAGTGAGAAAGTAAGAACATGAAAGCAAGATACACGTAGAATTTAAACCTTACAGTTTAAACCGTAGTTGGCAGGTTGATGATAAAATATGTGCAAGATAACCACACACACATCAATTTCTAAAGTTACTGATTCTCCAGACCACTGGCCACAAACTAACAGTCATCCCTAAAAAGAAACCGCAAAACCACAAATCAGGAACTAAATAAGTAGGCAGTCATACTTCCTTCTCGAAATCTAGGAAGGAATACATTGAGAGGTAGTGAGAGATTGCACTATAAAGCTAGAATCCCTGCATTCTACTCTCCTAAATTCCCAAATTAAGGCATTTAGTTAGGAAAAATAGCTACCCTCAAAAGAAGTATTCACAATATTCAACTAACCACACCATCAAAAGAATAAATGGTTTCCTCTCCAAAGTGCTGGAGAGTAAGGATGTCAGTTTAAGGACTAAGATAAGCCTGGTGCATACCATGGTATTTTCAATTGCTTCCTTTGCAACTGAAGGTTGGACAATAAATAAAAACGACATAAAAAATCCCAATGTCTTTGAATTGTAGTGTCTGAGAAGCTGATATGCAGAGAACACACCTTGCTTGCTGAAACTGAGGTGGACCTAAAGTGCATGCTGCAGAAAGTCAAGGACTGTGTTCTTCAATATGGATTGAAGCTCAACATCAAAAAGACAAAGATTCTCATCAATGGGCCAACTGGGAGCACTATGATAGATGGAGAAGCGACTGAGGCTGTTAACAATTACAGCTTGCTCAGCTCCACAATCAATACTCTTGGCAACCGCAGTAAGAAAATCAAAAGATGAATTGCACTAGGAAAATCTGCTATCAGGGACTTCTCCAGAGTACTGAGAAGCAACAATGTCAGTCTAGAAACTAAAGAGTGCCTATCAAGGTGATAGTCTTTGCAATTACTTGCTACTGATACAATTATTTGCCTCAAAGAGCTGGACAATGACTAAGAATGACAGAAGAAGAATTGATACTTTTGAGTTGTGTTTCTGGGAGAGTACTGAACATACCATGGATGGTCAAGAAAACAAATACATTTGTCCTGAAGAGGATGTAACCAGCTTTCTCCTTGGAGGCTAGGATTTTGAAGCTCTGTCTGACATATTTTGAGCATGCAGCCAGGAAGAACCAATCCCTGCAGAAGGACATCATGCAGAAGGGTGGAGGGAGGATGAAGGAGAGGAAGACCCCAGGTTAGATGGATTGATACAGTAACTGGTAATATGCAGTAGGTGTGTTGGAGTCAGTCAGACTAGCTCAGGACAGGGCAGGCTTCAGAGCTGCTGTACATAAGGTCCTTTTGTAGAACAGCAGCAATATCAGGAGGGGTCAGCTCTTAAAAACAGGTATCATGCTGGGAAGGATGGAGAGTCAGAGAAAGAGAGATCTTCAATGAGCTAGATTGAGACAATGATTGCAACAATGGGCTTTAAAACTTCAGTGTTGGGAATGTGAAAAATCCCTGTAAATCACTGGCCCTTAAGTCATAGACCCCATATCAACACCAAAGCTTAAGCCAAATAATTGATCAAAGGCCAAATAATTAATTAAACAAAACGATCATCTTGAAAAAGGAAGTAACTCAGGGAGAGATTTTAAGTCAGAAAGCAAAATAAGATTAGAAATTTTTCTATTTTTCTTAGACTACATTAAGAGGATGGAGAGAGGGTGTTCAAGTTAAGTAAAACACAGGAAAAAATGATAAAAAGTAGAATTAGGGCAGTACGATATAGTCCCTCTAAGGGAACAGCAATAAAATGACCAATTTCTGTAGCCTCAACGCAGGGCTGCTTTAACATAACCAACAAAGGTGCCTATTTGTCAATGTAATTAAAGAAATTCCAACAGTGAACACACCCTTGCATATGGAAGCACAAGTTTACAAAAAGTTCTAATTTTCCATTTTTTTTCCTTTTCAAAAAGAACGAAGTTGGAGTTTTAATATACGCGGTTTGGGGTTTGTTTGGGGTTTTCCCCCCCGTTTTTATGTACTTTATCTAAAAGGGCGAAGAGTTTATAATAGAAAGCCTAAAAAAAAAGGTGACTAAAGGATCTGCAGGAAGTGAAAATCATAAACTTTTTGAGATCAAAGGGCTCAAGGGCTAAGGAACAAACCAAATCCACGGCCTTTGAAAGGCTCCCAATTCTTAGTAATCTCTGAGTGTAACAGCCTCACAGGGTTTCCAAGGCTGTCAATGTTTAAGGAAGCGTACTGCCACATCTGTCCCCCGTAGAGGGGCTGCAGGGCTCAAATCTTGAATCTTTCGGGAGAACAGTAGAGTGATTTGAACACTGAGTCATCAATGCTTAAGACAGAAACAAAGGAAATAATAATAAAGGGAGGGTGCGTCTAGAAACTGTTCTTTAAAAAAAAAAAACAAACATTCGTCTCTGGTATTTCTTAGACACGTAAACGGCAGTAACTTGACCAATAGGAACGGGCAACAGTATGACTCCCTCCCCGAACTCCTGCAATCCTTGGACATCTACGCAAGTACAGTCAGACTTGGGACATTTCACAGACATAGCTCCTCCCTGCACCACTGCCAAAGGAACCTCTCCAAGGGACTATCACTATCCCCCTTCCTCTCACTGCGGGAGAGAGGAAGTCGGGGATGCTGGGAGAGAAGGGAAAGAAGGGCTGGACACCAAACCTGAAGGTGGCCCACTCCAAGACTTCAGGAACTTGGACCTGGACTCAGCTACTTGGAGTTCTGCATGCTGCAACCCCTTATTCTACCAAATGCATGCAAAACCGAGTGGGTGCCGCCCTGGAAGGGCTGGCCCTCTCTTCACCCGGCTGCTTCAGGGGCACGCTCGGAAGCGCAAAGGATGAAGGGGCAGCAAACCCCGTAAAGAATTATGTGATCAGAAAGCGAACAGACTAAGGGTAGAAGTGCCCTGTAAAAGTAAAAAACTGTAAACCCCTAAGGCAACGTGTCCGCTCTGGCCAACCACCTCGGACCAGCCTTCTCTGCACTCCTTTCAGGTTGGCCGGCTCCGCCCTCACCTGTCCGCTGGGAGCCCCGCAGCTCGCACGCCGAGGATTATCCCTTGCCGCTGCTCCCGGGAATCGCCTCTGCCCTGGCAAGAAGTGAGCGGAAAAGCAACTCGGGCCTTTTCCTTCTTCCCCTCCCCCCAACGCACCTCGGATACTCGGAGGGCGGGGAGCAACTGCAGCTGTCACAGTCTCACACTGACCAACCGCCGAGGACACTCGGACCGGCGGCCTCTCAACCCGGCCTCCGGAGCCAGCACCCAGAGCAGCGGAGCCGGAAGTGAGAAGAACGGAAGTAGCGTGTCCTTGGCCCTGGACGGCCTCTCTCTCCCAAAATCTGGCCCGGCCCGGCCACGTCTCGATGGTGCTAGCAGCACCTCCCAAGAGTCCCCCCTTCACCCCCATCCTGGTGGCTGGCCCCGCCTCTCCCCTCCCGCTGCGGCCTTAGCAACCACATCCGGGACTCTGCCAGTGCGGGAGGAATTTCCTGGCTGCAGCCGAGTATGTGAAGGGTCTGCGGGCAATAACTGGAGCAATGCACTTGCTAGAGCTGGAAGCACGTAGAGGGCCAGGCGGCCTGGTCTTGAATGGTCAGAGGTCCGCAGGAACCTCAGCATCCTTTCTCTTTCAGTTACACTTCTCACGTATTACGTGTCCCCCCAGTCAGCGGTGAGCCGGGGCGGAAAGGGGGAAGGTGGACGTGGCTCACACCCACGCACACCCCAGGGGAGCCAAAGCTTCTGTCTCCGCTACCTGACATCTCGAAGACGGTTCCTGCAGCCTGGAGGCGGGGAGAGGGGAGCGAGGGAATGCGGAGGTAGGGAAACTGCCGGGATTCGGGCGCCCCACCTTCGCATTCCCGGCGCCGAAGAGCCCCCTCCGGCTACGTCACGCTCGCGCACCCTCTGCGGGAACACCAGCCCTTGTCGCGTGGCATCCCAGAGCTCTTGTTATATTTGCTATGCTTTCTCTTTGCTTGCTGATTCCCTGATGTTTTTCATTAATCTCCTTCCTTTCTTTTTTACAGATCACTGAGCTCTGCTTTCCTTGTGGATCCCATTACTTAAAAGAGATCCCTGCTATTTCTAAAAAAGGCTCTGATCAATTTCTTCTCTCAGAACCCTCTGTCGTTTCCTGTTGAGATCCCAGTTTATACTAGTACTTGCCGTCCTCAGCACTAAATGGAGGGGGCTTGATTGAGGTTGTTAACAATTATAGTCTGCTCGCCCCCACAATCAACACTCTTAACACCAGCAGTCAGGAAAGCAAAAGACGAATTGCATTGGGAAGATCGGCTGTCAGACCCCTCTGCAGAGTCCTGAAAAGCAACGATGTCATTCTAGAGACTAAGGTGCGCCTTCTCCACACCCTGGTTTTTGCAGTTACTTGTTATGCTTCAGAGAGTTGGGCAATGACTAAGGATGACAGAAGAAGAATCAATGCCTTCGAGTTGTGGTGCTGGAAAAGAGTACTGAACATGCCATGGACGGCCAAGAAAACAAATCGATCTGTTTTGGAGAGGGTGAAACCAAGTCTCTCCTTGGATGCTAGGATTTTGAAGCTCCATCTCACATACTTTGGGCACGTGGCCAGGAGAGACCAGTTCTTGGAGAAGGACAACATTCTTGGAAGGAAGGAAGGAGGGATAGCGCAAAAGAGAAAGAGCCTGGATGAGATGGATTGATACACCAACTGAGACAATGGGGGTGGGGGTGTCGGAATTAGTGAGACTGGCTCAGGACAAGGAAGGGTTCAGAGCTGCTGTACATAGGGTCGCAGGGGACTCGAAGGCACATAACAACAACAACATACATTTGGTCTGTCTACTTTTCGTATCCCTTCAAACAGCCTTCTGTGATTGTCCTCCCTTTGGCAATCTTGGTAGTTCATTTTTATTTCTATTTCACTTGTACAAATGTGAAGGGTAATAAAGCACACATCATAGGGGTTTTTTTTTACTCTCTTTGAACTGTAATTTTTACTTAACACATAAACTACAAGGCATTTTTAATGACTGACTAACTATGGTGGCTTCGCGGTAAGAAGCTGCACAGTCTTTGCAGTCCCAAACCAATGTGGTTCAAATCCACCAGCTGCTCCGCAGCAGCAGGATGGACAATCTCCTCCTATGTGATTAACTGCCTCTGAAAACCACCGGAGGGTCAGCTATGAGTTGGTTCTGACTCGAAGGTACACAGTAATAACAACATGTAGAAAGACTGGAACAGAAGTAGCAGTATACAAGTGTTATTCTTAAATTCTGGAGGATGAGAAGGAAGACAGTGCTACTTATACTTAAATGATGTGAACAATGAGTACTTAACTGAGCTGCCTTGTCCCTTGGATCCTGCTAGCTGTCCTTGAGTTCCGGAAAGCTTTCCTTAAGTTTCTACAACTGTGGAGCCTGTCAGGCCCAGAAATGTTTCTGTGTTTCTTGTATTATAAAGGTGGACAATCAGTTAATTGACCCTAGCTGAATCATTTCCTTGGAAGCTGTAACTACTGATATAGTCTTGAGAGAGGAATCTGATGGGCTTGGAATGTATGTGAACTTGTGCTTAGTAAAAATGTCATTAATCCTTTTAGGTACTCTTTCAGTCCAACCCTATTGTGATACTGTGCCAAATTTGTCTTCATGCATATTATTACAATATTATTAAATGAGACTACATACAAAATTAATCTTCCCATGATTTCTACTGCCCCAAAGGATATAAGAATGCAGCCTGTCTCTAAGTATACCCTGACACTACTTAAGCTAAAAAAAAAAAAAAAATTGGTGGACACCAAACCGTTTCAGTGAGTAGCACATAATCAAGAATCAATAATATTGAACGAAGGCATCTAACCAGCTTTGAAGACATTGACAAATTCAGAAATACTTGAAATACCAATTGAGGTGTTTCAAGAAACAAATACAACTTTGGACATGTTCACCAGTCTCTCCCATGAATTACTAAAGACAGCCACAACCTAGCTAACTGACTGGAAAACTTTTTTTCCCTTTCTCAGAAAGTGATCCAACAAAATATAGAAATTGTTGAGCACTGCCATTACTATCACATGCATGTAAAATCTTACTGAAGATTATTCAAAAACAGCTGGAACGGCATATTGCCACAGAACTTCCAGAAATTCAAACTAGAGTCAGAAGATGCTGTGGCACAAGGGTGGCTGTTGTTATGTGCCACAGAGTTGCCCGCGACCCAAAGCAACCCTATGTACAGCAGCTCTGAACCCTGAGCCAGTCTCACTGATCCCAACACACCAAACCTCACTGCCCTAGTTATTGTATCAATCCATCTCATCCTGGATATTCCTTTCCTGTGCCATCCCTCTACCCTCCTGAGCATGATGTCCTTCTCCAAGGTTCAGTCCCTCCTGACCATGTGCCTAAAGTATGGATGTTGATTGAGATTGTTAACAATTATAGTCCAAAGATGGGAGCTTCAAAATCCTAGCCTCCAAGGAGGAAGTTGCTTTCACCCTCTCCAGGACAGACCTGTTTGTTTTCTTAGCTATCAATGAATGGTATGTTCAAGACTCATCTGCAGCATCACAACTCGAAGGCATCAATTCTTCTGTCGTCTTTAGTCATTGTCCAGCTCTCTGAATCATAACATAATTAAGAAGACCATGGCCTGGATTAGGCACACCTTAGTCTCTAGACTGACATTGTTGCATTTCAGTACTCTGTAGAGGTCTCTTAAAACAGATTTTCCCAGTGCAATTTGTTTTTTGATTTCCTGACTGTTGGTGTTGATTGTAGAGCCTACCAAACTGTAGTTGTTAACAACCTCAATCTCGTCTCCACCTATCATGGTGCTATCAATTAATTGACTGAGTGGTGAGAATCTTTGTCTTCTTGATGTGAAGCTTTAATCCATACAAAAGAATTTCAAGAAACCACCTATGATCAAGAGCCAATGGTGAGGAAGGAGGAAGAATGACTTGGCAAAAAATAAAATAAAAAAATAAAAAGCCCCAGGAGTTGATGGAATACCAACTGACATATTTCAACAAATGTATGCTGTTTTGGACATGCTCATCAGGTGGTGGCAAGAAATCTGGAGGACAACTACCTGGCCAACTGACTGGAAGAGATCAGTATTTATTCCCACTCCAAAAAAAGGTGACTGGGCAGAGTGTGGAAATTAGCAAACAACATCACTAATATCACATGCTAGCAAAATCCTGCCGAATATTGTCCAAAAATGACTGGAAAAGTACATCGACAAAGAACTACCAAAATACAAGCTAAGTTTAGGAGAGGTTGTAGCCCTAGAGACATTATTGTCAATGTCAGATGGATCTTGGCAGAAAGCAGAGTACCAGAGGAGTATCTCTGTTTCATTGGCTATGTGGATCACAACAAACTGTGGCTAACCTTGAGGAAAATGTGAATCCCAGAACACTTGGTTGTGCCTATGTGAAACCTGTACTTGGACCAGGAAGCAGTCCTCAGAACAGAGCAAGGAAACACTACATGATTCAAAATCAGAAAAGTTGTGTGTCAGGGATAAAACCTGTCTCCATACCGTTTTAATCTATATGCAAAACAGATCCTTCAAGTAGCTGAGATTTATGAAGAGAAATGTGGCATCAAGATTGGAAGAAGGCTTATCAGCAACCTACATTATGCAGATGACACAACCTCGTTTGCTGAAAATGGCATAAGAGATAGAAAAGCTGATATCAGATGTGTCTTGGCTGAAAGTAGAGAGTATCAGAAAAATGTTTATATGTGTTTTATTAACTTTACAAAAGCATTGATGTGTAGACCATAACAAATTATGCCTAACATTGGCAAGTATAGGAATCCCAAAACACTTAATTGTGTTCATTCACAACCTCTATATAGTTCAATAGTTGTCCAAGCAGAACAAGGGAAAACTGAATGATATTAAATCGGTAAAGGTATGTGTCACAGCTGTATCCTTCCTCCATACCTATTCTATCTGTAAGCTGAACAAATAATTCAAGAAGCTAGACTCTATGAAAAAGAATGTGGCTTCAGTATTGCAGGAAGACTCATCAACAACCTGCAATATGCAGATGACACAATCTTACTTACAGAAAGTAAAGAGGACTTGAATCATTTACGGCAGAAGATCAAAGACTAGAGTCTTCAGTATGGATTATATATAACATCACGGATACAAAATCCTCACCAGTGGACCAATAGGCAGCATCATAATAGATGGAAAAAAGATTGAAGTTGTCAATTATTTCATTTTACTTGGTTCCATAATCAACACCCCTAATAACAGCAGTCAAGAAATCAAAAGATGTATCACATTAG